AGTCCAGCTCAAGATATGAGAAGGAGTCGAGAAAAAAAGAACCAGCTAGATCCAAATCACAGTCAAGATCACATTCTAGATCTAGGTCAAAATCCAGATCGAGGTCTTGGACTAGTCCCAAGTCCAGTGGCCACTAACAGTGTATCCATGTTGGTTTAGGCATGTAAGATTCATTTACACACAGTTCAGTTTACTTAAATTATCAGGAATATGATGTTGCAACAGTGCTAAAAAATATTTTCTTTGTCAGTTTTCCCTGTAGCCAACAATGGTTGAAATTAAAACAGTGTTGAGAAGCCACAGAGAGAGAGAGGGAGAGAGATTGTCCATTTGGTTAAATGTCATGGGCAGCTACTGATTTGGTTGTGGTGTCTCTATGTATATTTTTGTAAAGATTTGCATTTTTAATGCTTAGATATTTGGTGATGACTTGATTGATCGTAACTTGCAACATTGTCCTTTTACAAATGTCACACCCGTAGAGAAATTGGTACCAGTTTGTGCTGGGCAGTTAAACCAGCTGTTTGACTGGTTCTTCAACTCTATAAACTTTGTGAGGAAAAGGAAAACTGGACAGCTGTAGTGCAACACTGGCTGCTGGGAGGTCAGCCTGGCAGTTTGTTTCCATGGCTCCAGGGCAGGTTTCGGTGTTCTCCGTGCCCACCAGCCCCAGCAGGTTGGCACATGGAGCTCTGTGCAGGGAGATTTGGGAGATTTCTCTTTAGCCTGCTGTCTGGAGAGATGGCACTGACCTTGCATGTACGACATGGGCAGAGAGCTGATCTGGGAGCTCACTCAGAGCCTTGGCATAGAGGAGAGGCTTCACTGCCTCTGCCCTGGCTGCTGGTGCTGAAAGTGAGGGAAAAACCCACCTTGAAATGGAAAATCTAAATTCACATTTCAGCAAAGAGCACAGCAACTAAATATTAGGTTGTGTGTACATTTTATGCAGTTTTTTGTATCTATTCTCAGTTTTAGTGAGCAGTTAACCATAAAGTTGCTTAGTTTTCCTGCTGTTAGATACAAGTAGATCGTTTCGAGTTGTGTGTGTACAGTATATAAGAACTAAACTTTTATGCCAATGACTCCTGTGGTTAGTTGGTGTATTCATAGGTATCAAACTGTAGCCATCTCCCTGGGTTACCAGGCTTGCTTGCTTTTTACACAGCAAAAAAGCAGTTGGTCAAGCAAGCCTGAATCACTCCTTCCTCAGAATGGATAGTGGTTTGGTTAAAAGATTTCATTTTCCTTCAGAACAAATGTTTGAAGTTGGATATGAACAAGAGCTGCATCTCTAGTTATGTAGTTTATCACTAATACAGTATATTTAGAAAATTGAACGTGAAAAATAACAAACCCAGTGTGTAGTCTTGCCAGTATTTCTCTAGAAGGCAAGGTCCTTTGTTATGGAAATGGCTTTTGGCATTGTTTTTTTTTTTTTCTCTTTGCCTTCAAAAGCCACCATCAAACACTTAATGTTCCTCGCTGTCTGATGTCTGTAGCATATAAAGACATTGATTTCCAAAAGTTCCTTTTTAGAGAAATGTTTTAGGGTTTGGGTTTAGTGTTTCAGCAGGGCCTTTCCAGAAGCGCAGATGGCTTTGGGATCTCGTCAGCGGAACGTGCTTAGGGGTTGATCCTAGAACCTTTGTACATTTAATAGTATTTCTAACTTTTTCTTTACTGTTTGCAGTTAATGTTCATGTTCTGCTATGCAATCATTTATATGCACGTTCCTTTAATTTTGTAGACTTTCCTGGATGTATAGTTTAAAACAGCAAAAAGTCTATTTAAAACTGTAGCAGTAGCGTGCAGCTCTAGCAGAGGAAAGTTGTGGGATTAAACTTTGTATTTCCTTTCTTATAGAGGCTTCTAAAAAGGTATTTTTATATGTTCTTTTTAACAAATATTGTGTACTACCTTTAAAACATCGATGTTTTGATCAAAATAACTAAAGACCCAGCTTATTTTCTGCTTGCTGTAAATTTAGCAAACATGCTGTAATAAAAAAATGAAGGAAATACTGATCCACTGGAATTATTGTAGCATTAGAATTTTACTCCAGAGCATGGTTAGGAGTAGAGCTATGCATCCCTTATGGAGTAAAATCCTTACTATGGTATTTCAGTAAGGGCAGGAATTTTTCATTTAGTGTCTGAATAAATAATGTCACTTCACATTTTTGAAGGGGTACAAGACAAACTGAGAACACTAAGCATGAATTGTACTCTAATATATTGAATTTTCTTTGCCATTAACTTTCATTATTGCTGGATGGACTTGCCCCATAGGTTATAATTCAGATATTATTAGCCAGGTTATGAAACTACTTAAAAACAACGACTGAAGGTTCATACAGAATCATTTTTATAATTGCCATGTCCAAACTGGTGCCAGCAGTGGTTCTGTGGGAGGTGGCAACGGGGCTGGAGCTGCCTCGTGGCCCTGGTGTGTGCCCAGCTGAAGGTGCTGCCCTGAAAGACAAAAATCCTCTGTAAAGCACTCAATTGCTTTCATAAACCCACTGTCACCCTTTCTACGCTGAGCTGTGATTATTTCTGCTTTAGCAGCACAAACCCCACTCTTTTCAGCTTTATAGATTTCTATATATATAAATATAGTCTTCATGACTACCTGCTGCTTGAGAGGGTCCTGGTGCCTGCGAGGTGGGGAGAGCGGGGCTGGGTCTGCAGGGCCCGCAGGGATTGCTGTGCCTGGTGCTGCTGCTGCTCCAGCTGCAATTGGAGCTGCGAGGGGGGAGGAGGGAGGAGAAATCTCCACGTCCAGGCAGAGTAACAGTAACTGTTCCTTAACTGTTGTGTCAGCATGTCCTTATATTGTGTGCCTCAGCATTTATGTATAGCACAGTTTAATTTTTGTTTTGAAAAGCCAGATCATTGCAAGTATAATGTAGTGTCTGCCAGTTCTGATGGTTCTTTCTTTCTCTCCCAGAGGTAGGACTAAACTTTGACTTGACTTGTGTATATGAACAAGCCAGAAAAGCCGAACACAAACCCACGATGTTTCAAGAGTGCATGAATAAAGATGTTGTCCTAGTTCTTGCTCCCATGGAAAAATTGTGAAGAAGCTGTTCTGTGGGCCTTTCAGTTGGGGACGAGTTAGCAGGATGTGGCCAAAAGGGCAGGGAATGTTTATGCATTCATGCAAATCAAGCCACAGCCCATCTAGATAACATCTCCCTTCCTTGATGCAGGTATCCCAGTCCTGCCCTAAAAAAAGCAGGAGCCTGTCTTGTGCAAGCTTCCTGCAGGTTATGCACAGCTGGAATGCAAGAACTTTGCAGGCTGCAAAAGATCATGTCTAGATATCTTTCTTTTGGAGTCTCAAGAACGGTGGGAATTATGTTTTTCTGTGGTAAATCTAGATTTTGTCATTCCTGCAAAATTTGTAGAATTGAAGTAGCGTGTAAAAAAAAAAAAACCTCTGCTGAAATTAATGGCTGTGCTCCAAAATATCTGCAGCGAATCGATTGGTGTCAGCAGTCATAGAAGGCTCTATTGGAACTTCTTTTTCACCTAAAGTCCATGCACCCAACTGGTAATTAAAAATCTTCAATTTAGTGGTTAAGTAGCTGGGTGTTTAATTAGGGACTCTGATAGACTGGTCTCTGAAAGCTCAATGTTATCCTTTCTATGTCTTATCAAGATGTTTAATGTACAGTATCATGGTTTTACTCAAAGTGGAATCTTTTGGTTTCAATGTTGTTTGGAGCTCTCTGCTTGGACAGAGCTTTTTTCCTGCCTGTTGAGCCTGGTGCCAGCTGGGGCGTGCTCAGAGCGGGACAGTGCAGCCTCACCCAGCACTGCTGCTCGGGCCTTGCCAGGGAAGTACAAAGGGATAAAATTGACACATTTTTAGGACATAATCACCCATTAAGAATTGCTGGTTTTCTCCATTTATCTTGTAACTTGCTTAAAAAAGTCTGTAGTCCATTGCTATAATTAATATTTGTCTGAAGATGCTCTTGCTGCTGAGACTATTGTAGGAAGGGAAGACTCTGTACCCTGTAGTGTGTTTGATGGGAGATGCTGATGTTTTATTCACCCACATCCTTTCTTCTTGAGTTTTGTGTTCCATCTGTGCAAATAACCCTGTGAATTGGGAATAAAATGTACAAGTTTTGACTATAACTTGAGAGCACCTTCTGACTTAATTAATCCAGCTGTAGTGTGTGGGAGACGGAGCCCCGAGCTTTTGGTTAATTAGTGTTAATTCTCCAGCCCTGTGTGCCCTAACCACTGCAAAGGCATGAAGAGAAGGCTGCAGTTAAAGAAACCTCTCTTGAGAAGGGAACTGCCAAAATGAGGTCATCCCGCTTTTCCATTTCCATCTGAAAACAAAGAGATGCTTTTAGGGGGTAAAAAAAAAAAGTTTATTTATGTTTTGTTTCCAATTTGTACAAACATCATCAGTAATTGACAATTTGAAGTGGAGGATAGATAATTAACTGGGATTCAGCTCAGACTCTGGTGAAGGTCCAGGTCACAACACAAGTTTAGAGACTGCCAATTCCGTGTGATTTGGAGCAATAATTTTGTAAACATTCAGCTCAGCTGCCACTGCATTTGGAATGTACAGAAAGACACCTCCAAACATTTCACAATCTGCAAAAGGCCCGTTCAAATTAAAGCACTTTTTTTAGTAATCCTTGTCATCTTTTTGAAAGAACCCTGGTTGCTCCCGATGTCACCCTGCAGCAGGAGCAGCTGGAAGGTGACAGCTCAGGAGCCACCAGCCCTGACCCTCTGCCGAGGGATTTTAGCAAAGATTGGGACACAATGTTGTTTTACAGAGCCTTGATGCATTTCACAAACACAGAATGATTCCAATCCTTCAGTTTTATCAAGCACCTGAACCCAGGCATTTGCATTTCTTGTGAAACACTTGATTTGGAACATTTCAGTGTTTTTTCATCACTGAACACACTCCTCTCGTACACATTCACAACAGGAGGAACTGGGATCTGAAACTCCAGCAGCTTCTTTTTTTTTTTTAGGTTTTTTTTTTCTTTAATTAAAAAAAAAATCTAAATAAGCATTTTTGCACTGATTTTACTTAAAAAAATGAGATTAGAACCAAATACAATGTGCATATTCATTGCATGTGAAGTGCAAGGGCACAGCCACAAATGTCTTTTTTTTTTTAATTTTTTTTTTAAACAAAATATCATTTTTTTTAAACCAGGCCACGTACTCAACATGGTCATCTTACATTCAGCAGTTTTGTACTAAAAATACTTCTGTGCAGGAAAGCCCAGCAGAAATTTACATATGCTACAATGTTTTACATGTATTTACATAGCTCTGTCTTCCCTGTGAAAACATCTAACACCTGCCCCAAACTATTAATTGTTACAAGGGAACCAATTAACACCAAACTAAGGAACTACTCCACCTTTTTTTATAAAAACCGATACAAAACTGTGGTTTAGAACTCCTCAGTGCAGTGGGCACACAAAGGATTTGGGGGAGCTTTTTTTGGCAGTCACCTGGCAATGCAAGGTCTTTAGTTGGCACTCAGGGAGATTCCTGGGAAGCACAGCTGGCTCTGCCCCGGGAGTTCTTCCACACCCTTCCAGAACATTCCAGATGGGAGTCAGGGGCTTGAAACGCTCACCCAGCGCTGCAGGAGTGCCACTAAAGCTCACAGGGCAGGGCAGAGGATCAGCTGTGCCTCCCCGTGTGCCCAGGTGGAGGTTTCTGCTCTGCAGAGTGTTTAGCAAATCTCACACCAGCCTGAAAGCAGCAAATAACCTGACTAAGTTCTCAGTGCGTTTTTATTTTCAGTTCATGCTGCATTAAGTTAGGTAAAAGGTGGTTTTCTAACAATTCAAAGCCACAATTGCAATTTTGGCACACAGTCCCATTTATTCTTAAATACAGTAAATGGTGACTGCTCAGGATTTGATTGATTTACAAGAAAATATCTATTTCACAGTGAGGTGAACACAGCACTGAACTTTTGAGGTAAAAGATGAGGGGAATGTAAACTTTCACCCCTCTCCAAGTGACTAACTACATGCAGCAAGAACACCTGGTCCTGGCACACCTGGAGTTTGGAATAACAGTGCTCAAATCTGAAACCCTGACAGTCGAAATCACTTCTGAAAATCACACAAGTTACACCTCAGGCCTGGACTTTCAGTAAGGTTTTGAGCTGAAATGTCATTATTTCCTTATCAGAAGGTTTAAAAGAAACAGGTACCCAGTGGCTTGGTGGCTTAGGCAGAACACTTGGGGAGGGTGGCTCGCTGAACTTGGCTCCAGCATAGTTCTGGTTGCTCTGAGGGGTGAACAACAGGTTGTGATTGGACAGAGCAGGATTCCAGTTGGGATTCTTGGGGAAGTGAACGTTGTTCTTCCCCCCTTTCTGCATGGCCTGCCATGCAGCAGGAGAGGAGCTGCAGCCGTTGCCTCTTTCCTTCTTCACGTAGCTTTTCATCTGAGAGTTGGGGTCTTTGCTCTTCTGCCTGTTTTTAAGTTGCTGATGGTTCTTGGTGGTATTTCTAGACTGGGGAACGGGAACGTTGTATCTTTCTCCACCGCCCATCTTCAACTTAAATGTCACCTGCAAAAACAAGAGCAGTCAGGATAAGTCTTTACTGCTTTTTTTTAAACAAAGTATTTCAGAGAATGTTTAGATTTCAAGCAAAGGGACAAAAAACAACCTAACCAAAACTGGCTCTAAACACACCACTTCTCTCCTCAGAAAAGGTGTAACTGGAGAAATGGGACTGACAAAACCTTGCTCAAAAAAGGCAGAGCCAGATTTTATCAGTCAATATTGAGTGCTGAGACATTTAAATTCAGCCTGTTAGCACCTTAAGACTGGGCAAAGTTTGCACTGATAAGGCCACTGCCCAAAATTCCTGGTAAGTGTAAGAATTGCTCTGATAAACTCAAAATGAGCTGAAAAGCACCTCAAGTGGAGCAGATTTCACACAATTCCCAAAGCCCATGCCCAGACTCCAGCACAGCACACTCAGCACTTCCCTGCTCTCCTGCAATGTTTATTTCCCCACTCCATTTACCTCTCAGTGGTCTTCTCCGATTCCACACTCTCCAACTCTTGCCCCCTTTCTTGCTTCCAAGCCTGAAAGAAGAGGTGCTGCCTTGTGCTGGACTCCTTCCTTTGGCTGGGAATAGAAGTTTTCATGGGCTGATCTGCTGTCTTCAGCCAGGGAGCCGAGCCCAACATCGGATTCTCGGCACAGAAGCTCCAAGGGAGAAGTCCTGCTGCAGAAATGAGAAAAAAAATTTCAGATTATGGAAAAAATTGCTTCACTTGGGGGTGGACAGAAGGGCAAGCAGAAATAGTTCAGACTCTGCTGTGTCTGTTTATATGTTAAAGACGACAACATCCTAGAAACAAAAGCCCAAAACCCCATCCAAAAAGACACAGCTTTGTCTTTCTCTACTTACATCAAGTTCACCATATTTAGCCTATCCCAAGTAACATTTTGCTCGTGCTCTGTCTTACAAAGCATTTTAACAGACAATCAAGAACTTTTGCCCTTTCGTTTTAGTAGGGAAAATGTAAAGTACAATGGAAAATACTTTGGGAACTGGGACAATACAGGAACTGCCCACATTGTCCAAACGTTCCCCAGCCATCACAGAGCTCCATTTGTCATCTGTCAGCTGTTTCTTTAACCTTCGTTAGCCGAGTAATTCCTTAATAACTCTTACACTAATGTCCTGTTTGGCTCATGGCTTGTCTTTCCTGGGATCTCTGAGATTTTAACCTTGACGCACTCGAGTCTGTTCAGCTCCCCAAACGGAGCAGCCCCCTGCCCATCCCTCCCAGAGCTCCAGAGGAGCCGCCCATCTCCATTTCCAGCTTCCGCCTTGTTTGGACTGCAACCAAAAGCCGAGATAACGTCACCGGCCCCGGCCCAGCTGCCCTCTGCTCCCGCTGACCGGAGCTTCTTCGCCTCCGAACTTTCTCCCTTCTCTCACCGACACCTGGGGGCAGCCGGGACCCCCCCGTCCCCCCTTCCCCCACAACGGAGCACAACATGGCGGCGGCCGCGCCCGGCCCTTCCCGCACCGCTCCGTCCTTACCGACTTCTGTCCGCTCCGCTCGCCCACAAGCACGGACACACACACGGCCCTCCGGGAACCGACCCCGCGCTGCTCCGCCGTCACCGTCCGACCCCCGCCCCCCGAGCCCGCTTAGCTCCGCTCCGCACCGCCCCTCACTCTCCCTCACAAAATGGCGGCCGCGTCCTGCGCCGTTTAACACCCTCTCCCTCCTCCCCCCTGCGCGGGGCTGCGCGGTCTCAGCCAATGGGATCGCGCCCTCCGCGCGCTCCGCCAATGGGAGCCAAGCCCCGCCTGTTGCCAGGCGGGCCCTGGGCAGAGCGGCCGCGGCGCGCGGGCGGGCGGGGCCGCCATTTGAATCCCCTCACGGAGGGCAGCGCGGGAGCGGCCGCCGCTCTTTGTCCCGCCCGGGCCGGCCCCGCCGCCCGGCACCGCCCGCGGGCCCCTCCGGCCCCTCGCCACAGCCCCCCGGCCCCGCTGCCAGCCCCGCCCCGGCCGCGAATTAGCACAACAAACATCCCGGGGAACGCCCCCGCCAGCTGCCGCTGGGGGCTTCAAAGAGGTGAAATAATTAACAACAACAAAAAAAGAGAAAAGCACAAAACCCCCGGCTGTGGGAGCGAGGGGCTTCGAGAGAAGGGATTCAGCGAACAAAGAGTGAAATCCGGCCCCCCGGAGATGGCCGCAGCGCTCCGGTGTCAAATGGACGGTGTCGGGTTTGTTGTACCCATTCCCCAGCCTGCATTTAGTTAAACTATTTAATGTTTTAATTTAAAGTATTGAAAATTATGTAGACCGATCTTTCAGGTCAAAAAGGGAAAATATTTCCCAGGTTTAAAACAGCGCTGTGGGTACGCAGAGCCCCTGGCAGTGGCTGCGCTTTGTGTTTATATTCACATTCTCTTACTTTGCCTCAAAGGATCGTTTCAAAGAAAAAACCCACAAGATTTGGCTTTTGCCATGTGTAGGATGTTTGAAAATTAGGTATACATAAGAAATTCACACACGTGAGAGTGTTCCCTGCCCACCACTGTGGGGCCAGTCTAGCATTGTACACCACATTGAAGGCTGAAAAAAGGAAGTTTCAAAGAAAGTGGAAAAGAACGAGTTCAGTTCCAACCCCACCAAGTCAGGGCAGTACTTAAAAACAACAGATGAGCATTCAGAGTTTGTTGTTTCTTTTTTAAGTAAAGACCCTGGTTTCATTGAGTAACCTTGGATTCTTAACTACAGAAGGGAAAAAATCCTGGTTTATCCCTAAAACAAAACTGTTTCCTTACTGACCTAGTGTTACAGTGCTCTGACCCAGCCCAGGACAAGGTAAAGACTCTAAATAGAAGTTTGTATTCATTGTGATGTTATTTTAAAAGCCAGCATATATTTTACTACACGAGAGATGTTGACATACCTAAACCCAGACCTTTGTTCCTGTTCTTTATTGTATGTTAGCACAAAGGCAGCTGAAATTAATTTGTTTTCCTCCCTTTGCTTTTGATTTCTTGGCACAATGTGATGGCTGAGGTCCTTGTAGCAGCTTTTTTTTTGCCTTTACATGGAAGGCAACAATATCTGCTGTAAGCCTGGAAATCCCACTCATTAATTAACAACTCTCCTGCAATGCACATCACCAGATTTTGCTTTGTTTCTATCTCTAGTGTGTTTGTTTCTGCTAAAACACAATCTCAGCCCAGTGTGGATGTTCTCAAGCCAGGACGTGTCAGTGGCATTGAGAAACAGCATTTTGCAGGCTGCAAATGTTCTGCTCTTGTCTGGGCAGCACAACAGCGTGTACTTTTCAGTTCAGAACAAGGATGACACAAGGTCTGGCTGTTTGTCCTCGCTATCTCTGAGATAATTAAAGAAACATCTTGTCTTTCAGAGCTGGTGTTGGGGTCAGGCTGACACATTCAGCCTGGGGGAGCAGGAAATGTCAGTGATAAGCCATTGCTGTATTTGTGCAGGAGCTGTTCCACTGAAACAAATGGAGTCATTTGGAGGCCGAGCAGGAACACGAGGGCATTTTTGAAATCAAAGGGACAAAACCCCAAACACCACAAAGTCCAGCTTGCAAAGCTGTGTGTTTCACCCTTCAGCTGTTAGAGCCCTGGGCTGTTTCCTTCCCTGCAGTGGAAGGAAAGGAGATGTTCCCAGGGCTGTGCAAACCACAACAGACAGAAGCACTCGAGTTCCTGCTGCATCCTAAAGACTCAGCACAGACTGAATCCTGAGGTTCTGCCTCAGTCCTTTATCATCACCACCCCAGATTCCTCCAACAGGAGCCACTTCACTCCTTCAAATGCTGATTTTTAACCTTCTTCCTTTTCAAAGCTCTCACTGTAACATTTGTGACTCCTGAGCATGTGACACTACATCGACCTCAGGTACTCGTGGGCAGGCTGGGATATTGTAGCTGCCTCCAGGATCGTGCTGTGCTCACCCTGATGTCCTGCAGGTGCCACAGGCCCAGCTCCAGAGCCCTCAAACACTGCTGGAACAGGGCAGTGCTTCCAAACCCACCCTGAGGATCGTGCTGTGCTCACCCTGATGTCTTGCAGGTGCCACAGGCCCAGCTCCAGAGCCCTCAAACACTGCTGGAACAGGGCAGTGCTTCCAAACCCACCCTGAGGATCGTGCTGTGCTCACCCTGATGTCTTGCAGGTGCCACAGGCCCAGTTCCAGCTCCAGAGCCCTCAAACACTGCTGGGACAGGGCAGTGCCTCCAAACCCACCCTGCTGTGCCACAGACTCAGTGACCTCCTGTGCACCTCTCATAACCTGTACACAGCACAGGCAGGAGTTTTCTATTGTGCAAGTGTCTGCCCTGTCTGGATTATTCCACTTCCTCCAGGCACTCCAAAGATGACTGCAATAAATCCCAGCTTCCCTCATGTTCCCAGGGAGCTGTGTTACCCAAATCCTCCTCAGCTCCCTGCTGCCACGGTGACAGCACCTCAAGGAATTCCCCAGCCACTTTTATTTCTCACTCAGCACCTCCACTCCCTCTCAGAGCAAACATTAACCCAGCCCAGGGACGCAGCTCCATCCGTGCTGGCACTGCCACAACCAGCAAGTCCCAGTGAAGACAAAGCCTCCGGAGCTTCATTAGCCCCACATTAAGGTGCTCCCAGCCGTAGCTGAGCTGGATCTCAGCACACACACACTCCTGGCCGGGAGTTTCAGTGGAGCTGCTGAGCGTGGATGCTGCAGGAAGTCTGCAGCACGGATGACTCATTTGTTAAATCAATAGTGAACCATTGCCCCAGTTTTATTCACAGTGACGAATTTCCGGCTGTGGGTGACTTTCAGTAAGCCCAAGATGTTTACATTTTGTGGCTCCAAGAGCCCCATGACACACTTGAAACTCGTTAGACGTTTCCACCTGAGCCAAACATTAACCAGATTGTTAATCTAAGTTTCCTTATGAGGGAAACGTGTGAGCTTGTGTTTTCTTTAAAGGCTGCATGGAAGCACTGGGTATTCAGTAATGTTTGGAATATCCTTTATTCTGCCTGGCAGAGCACCCGTGTTCATTAAATGAAGCTCAGGATATTCACAGCAGTGAGCTAAAGGAACTGAGCAGACATTTGAACCTCCGCAGGGTAAATAGAGAAGAGGCTCAAGAACCCAAACAATGTGATAAAACTAAACATTTTTATTGTTTAAATCTCATTATAAGTATATTGATATATGCTTTAGACATGAATTAAGTTGGTATCCAGCAGCACCTGAGTTAGATCAGCTCAGAACACGAGTTCTGTCCTCTGCACTGCTGGAGCTCCTGAGTGTGAGATCACATCCAGCATTGTGCATTGGTGTGTGGGGTGTGCACAGCACCCAGCAAACAGCACCAGGGGTAAAACCCCCCTGGACACCGACAGAGCCAAACCCCGAGCCTGGGGGCTTTAAAGGGCTTGTGCTGAAGCAGCTTTGTCACAGCTGACAGCTTTTCCCACTCTGGAAAACAAACACATCAGGCACGGCTGCCGAGTCACGCCCTGTTTTGTGCCTCAGCAGCTCCCGTTGGAACCCTCACCGGCTCTGAGTCACAGAGGAGCCTTCAGCCCCTGTAAATCAATATGCCTGGTGCACGTCCTGTCAGCAGGGAAAACAGTTCTACCTGAACCCTCCTCCCTCCAGGAGAGCAGCAGAGGTGTTTGTGCACAGGACAATCCCTCAGCCAAGCCCTGTTTGCTCTCAGGAGCTGTGCTAGACATGGCAGTAAAGATGGGTTGGTTTTTTTCTGAGCATTTTCTCTATGAGTGCAGCAGAGTCACTCACCGTGGCTCTCTGAGTCACACCTTATCAAGGTGAGCACTGCCCGACCCTCAGCCCCATCTGCACCACCCAGTTTTCAAACACAGCCCAGCAAACGCAACAGTCAGAGAAAAATGAGCAATCCCTGTCCTCCCACAGAGCACAGGCACCCTTCCAACAGCCCCAGGGCTCCTCTCTCTGCTCTGGAGACAGAAACTCCTGCGCTCCTGAGCAGTACCAGGCTCACAGTCCCTTTCCCCAGCACCTGCACAGCGTTGCTCCAACCCCAAGTATGGGGGTGTTCCCAAAGCAGGCTAATTCCAGCAAAAACCCTTTACATTACAGGAATCAGCTCTGATGGTTTTCCTTTAGTCTGGCAGGACAATTTTTACTATAAATCAGAGTAAATTCAAAAGCTTCTAACCATGCTGCCATAATAATATTTCTTTCCTGTGACACAAGGTTCTCCCTGCAGACAGAGGAAACTTGGGGCCATGCTTCACAGGATGCTGCTGGATGTGAAGCTGTGTCAGAGCAGGGAATAATTTGGGGCTGGGTGCTGCTGTTGGAACTCAGGACCAGCATAAAGAATCTTTCTGTTTCTCACCTGCTCTTTACAATCTTGTTGCTGCTGCAAATTTCTCAGTTTGGAGCAGCAATGGAAGAATTTTTTTTGAGACAGAGCTGACATCCCATCATCTCCTGTGATGCCTCTCATGGTTATTGTGGTTTCCAGACCCCCTCCCAGCCGCGGAAGGTCCCTGCAGAGCCAGGAACCCCCTTTTCCCGGCCGGGGCCCAGGAGGAAGCGCCGAGTTCCCAGTTCTGCCTCCTCCCAAGCTGTCCCCGGGCGCTGTCCGGGTTTCCCTGGAGAGGGCAGTCGAGCTCCGCTGAGCTGCCGAACCCCGAGC